AATATTATAGTATGTCTACACAAGTAATTCTAGCAGCATATGGGGTACTAACAACCTAACAATGTTTGTGACATGTATCCGTAACTAATTAAAACTGAACGTAAAGTGTCAGTCAGTTATCTTAACAATATTATAGTATGTCTACACAAGTAATTATAGCAGGATCTGGGGTACTAACTACCTAACTATGTTTGTGACATGTATCCGTAACTAATTAAAACTGAACGTAAAGTGTCAGTCAGTTATCTTAACAATATTATAGTATGTCTACACAAGTAATTATAGCAGGATCTGGGGTACTAACTACCTAACTATGTTATGTGTATCCATAACTAATTCAAACTGAACGTAAAGTGCCAGCTATCTTAATACTATGGTCGTATTTCTACACAACTAATTCCAGCAGCATTTGTGGTACTAATTTAACTATATTCATGATGTGTATTCATAACCAATTTGAAATGAACATCATGTGCCAGCTATCTTAACAATATCGTGGTACTTGTACACAGTTGATTCCAGCAGCACCTGGTGTACTAATTATCTTAACTGTTTCTGAAAACTTAAGAGTGAAAGTAAAAAAAGAGCATTTTATAATATGCCAAGCACACTACATCTGTCATTTCCAGTGCCGACGAGGCCTTTCGTCCATTACTAGCGATCTTCAGGCCGGCTTGGGTACGACAGATAAACTAGTGGTATAGGCGTTATTTATATAATCAATTTTCATCAACGGTGCTGTTATAATGTGAGCTAGTTTAAGTAAGTGAATTGTAATTATTATCAAATTTATTTAAATCATTTACAAATTTCGATTTTTTTTACGGTAAGAATTAATAACACGATATTATCTATTTTATTTATCTTTATTTCCAAAACCGATTATTTATTTATCATTAATATTATTATTGTTCTATATGAATGGACTTTCTGTCATTCAAAAGAACTATGCGCGTACGTAATTAATTACAACAAAAGCTGGAGTACCAGCTATCTTCACAGAATTGGTCCCACAGCAGTTAGTCCGAAGGCTTATAACGCTAAAAACCGGGTTTCAATACCCATGGTGGGCACACAAATGGCCCATTATGAAGCTTTGTGCTTAACTACAAAACAAACAACCAACCAAACACACTTAACAACATCAGGATATTTGTACATAATTAATACCAGCAGAACTTGGGGTGTTATTTCACAATTAATACCAGAAGAACTTGGGGTGTTATTTCACAATTTATACCAGCAGAACTTGGGGTGTTATTTGACAACTAGCCCCCCAGTGGCACAGCGGCATGTCTGCGGACTTACAATGCTAAAATCCGGGTTTCGATACTCGTGGTGGGCAGAACACAGATAGCTCAATGTGTAGCTTTGTGCTTAATTACAAACAAACAAACAATATTTCACAATTAATACCAGCAGAACTTGGGGGTGTTATTTCACAATTAATACCAGCAGAACTTGGGGGTGTTATTTCACAATTAATACCAGCAGAACTTGGAGTGTTATTTGACAATTGATACCAGCAGAACTTGGAGTGTTATTTGACAATTAATACCAGCAGAACTTGGGGTGTTATTTATCTTGATGTCAAATTCTGCAACTTAGTTGGGTTGCAACTGGTAAAGTTCCAAAATACAGAATTGAAAAGAGAAAAAGACAATACGGTGATTTCAATGGTTCATCATATTTTTCAAACACAAATGTTTAATGGTTAAACTGGTGTTTAGAGGCAAACTGCACTCAAACAAATATACAACATTTGATTTATATAGTAGTAGTCGCAGACATGAAGTTGACCACACGCTTTTCAGATTCATTTACCATAACATCACTTTGAATTTTTCTTTTGTTTGTGATTCTATTCACTAACTTAGGAAGATTTTACAAAATGTTTTGAAACGAACCTTTCAAACTAAACGCTACTCATGCATTGCAATGTAACAAAACATATTCAGAGAAAGTGAACATTTATATCATAAAGTAGTTTGTTAAAAAAATATGTTGGTGTATTCTTTCACCTCAGTCCTTGCACGTTTAATATGTTTATCCAGCTGTAAACGTTATTATTATAAAGAATTCCTTTTCCAAGCATGCAATAATTATTTTTTTTTACCAACAGCGCACTATTTGTATACTGAAAAAGACTGGCATTTTTATAGAAGTAAAATTTATGCTGTGTAGAACGTTTTTCTGCTAATGTACGTATTCTTTCATTCTAACGTTTTCAACAGTTTGATGTTTTATAACTGTTATTATAAATGTAATCCAGTAAAGCTGGCACATTCGTCTATTTAATCTTCGTATTTTCCTCTTAGGTATGTAAAT